TTTCACTTTACACATTTTTACCTTTAAGATTGTGCAGAGATAACCTTTAAGTATCCTTGGATACTTAAAAAAAAAGTGTTAAAATGGAAAAATACTTCACAAAGCAGAAAACCTCTAGCTCCTAGGCCCCAGTAAAGGTTATGGAATCCATAATACTGTAACATATTTTCATGATAGGGGGATAGATGTTAAGAGATACTAATGAAGATTGTAGATATAGAATTAAGGACAGATTGTTTTATTTTTGTTAAATTACTAGTTTAAAAAGTTGCAGTTTTTGGAGATGGCCATGCCCAAGTCTAAGCTTTTGCTTTAGAAAACACTACTAATAACAAGCAACATACATTTAGTATTCTTTGCAACTACCTCTGCATGCTTCAGTACTTTAAAGAAGAGGGAAACCATTCTGACTCTTCCCTTGCTAAAAATTCAGAATATTGAATACATGCTAAATTGAGAAGGTTTACAAAGGATATTTATGGGGACAACTGCCTTGCATAAGTAAGTAATAAATATTTATTGGTTTGGTTTTTATTTGGATTTTTATTTTTTATCTTTATATATTTGCTTTTCCATTTTTCATTAATCTCTCCTGAGAATTTTGTTTATATAAAGAGTTGATTTAGTTTTGCTGTGTCAACAATTTTGTATAGATTTTTATGCCTCTGTTCCTGGTGGATTTGATGCTTATCTGAGATTTTACATTTATCTGGTGTTTTTGATCTCATTACTAAACCTCAACTGCAACATCTAAAAAAATTAATCATTTTATGATTCTCTCTTTTTAAGTAATGAAAATAGATCCCATTGGTAAGACAGTACAAGATTGCCTCATGTGGTTTCTGGAGGATATAGTTGTGGTTTTTTAAGTTAATCTGATTATATATAATTTCTATTGATGACTCCAAAAGAAAAAGAAGGAATGGCAACCTGCTCCAGTAGTCCTGCCTGGAAAATCCAATGGACAGAGGAGCCTGGCAGGCTACAGTTTCTGGGGTCAAAAGAGTCAGACATGACTGAGCAACTGAACACACCAAAAGAAGAAATCAGTAAGATTCATATTGTTTGGAGAAAAGTGACAACTCCTTTACAAGTACAATCTATAGTTCAGTGAAAAAGACCTGTTACATACAAAAGATATGACAAGGAAGTAGGCACATGATATTAAATATATGATGGAATATATGTTGCAGTAATAATATATAGTAATAAATAATGCATCCATTGATTTTTAAATTATATATTTGTAATGTGCATATATAGCATAATATATAAAAATATAATGTATATATTTTTATATTTTATATAAAAATACATCCTTTTACTTGATATTGTTTGCCTGTCTTTTTGTGTGAATTTTAAGTAAACAATGTTAAGAAAGATATTCATCCAAATGTTAACAGAGGTTGTCTGTTGATGGGAGGATTTCAGGTAACTTTTTTTTTCTTTGTTCTTTTCTGAGTTTTTACCATGAGTGTGTATATTTTTATAAAGTTTATTGGTTTTTCAAAAATTATTAAAAAAAACAGAAACTTATAATTACAGGAAAGAAACTATATTCCATTCCGATCACTACATCAACCAATTGAACAAGAAGCAGACATCAATATCCTGTGTGCCCAACCCATATATACGGTGGTATTTCTTGCACCTCTGTCTTTCCTCATGAGTTCACCAGCTAATTCAACAGCTACTTTTCTTAGTAGTTTACCATCAGCATGTTCTTAGTTTCCATAAAAAGAAAAATTATGTTTTCCTAATTAGATTACATAGTATTTAATCCAATTATGAAAAAACTGAAAGTTAGTCACACAGTCGTGTCCAACTCTTTGTGATCCCATGGACTGTAGTCTGCCAGGCTCCTCTGTCCATGGAATTCTCCAGGCAGGAGTACTGGAGTGGGTTGCCATTTCCTTCTCCAGGGGATATTCCCAACTGATGGATTGAACCCGGGTCTCCCGCGTTGCAGGCAGATTCTTTACCAACAGAGCTACTAGGGAAACCCCAATCATAACAGTTACAATATTAAGTGCAACAAGTTGGTAAGCACTGAGTCAGTCACTTAATAGGAACAGAAGTGTGTGGGTAGTTGAGCTGGTTCAGTTGCTTTACAGTATATTGATTCTTTTGTTCCCTACTGATCTATTGATACAAGGAGCCTCAAGTGACAGAACACCATTTGTGGCATACAGTTTAATGGGACTAATAATAAGCCTCTGAGTGGAAACAGTCCTGTGTCAGAACAAGGACTTTTGCATGCTCAAAATCTAAGGTTGAGGGGATGGGAAACTCCCAGGAGTGGGTCCCTGAGGGCAAAGGTAAGTGCAGCCAGTTTTGCTTCTACCCCTTGGTTCTCTGTCCGATATAGTCTACCTATTGGAGACAGAGTAACATACAAGATGGCTAATTTAGGGTGCTACTGCATCCTAGAGTATGGGGTCCCATCTTCACAGAACATTATCTCCATGCTGACATATCAGCTGTACTTTCAAAAGGCCATTCTATATTTTCTGCATCACTAGCTCAGAATATATTGATCTTACCTGAAGACCAGTATCTTTAAATTTGTAGCTATATACTATAGACTAGCTGTTTTAAAACAGCATTCTCATGATGTCCCTTTCTAAAACTGATATACCTAGACATGTGTAGAAAAGAATTAGACTTGGCCTCAAAGGGTCTGTATGTTAATTTTTTTTCCCTTTTGTACCTTAAAATATAAATTTAAGTAACAGATATAGGAAAAAACCCTTGCATTTGTGAAACTGTCAAACCCTCCAACACCAGGCCAACCCAGTATCTGGCTGGGGCTGGCAAAGGTCTCCCCTTCATGCAAGGCTTTCTGGTTTTTTGAGTGTGTATGTGTGTGTTTGGAGGAAATTTTACACAGATACAGTGCTCCTTGCAAATACTGATGTTCAGGACTCCCCTCACCACCATACAAAAGATTGTATGTCAGATATATCTCAATTCCCAGAATGTAAACAAAAATATATGTGAATGTCAGGGAGTGAAAAGTGCTACAAAGAAAAATAATTCCGATTAGGGGCTAGAGAGTGGTGGTGGGGCTATTTTATTTTTATTAATGGCTGTGCTGGGTCTTCCTGGCTGTGTGTGGGCTTCTCTTGTTGTAGAGGACCGGCCTCTAGGCTTCAGCAATTGTGGTGCAGGGGCTTAGTTGCTCCTTGGCATGTGGAGTCTTCCTTGACCATGTGGAATCATCCTTGACCATGGATCAAACCTGTGTCCCCTGCATTGGCAGGCAGATTCTTAACCACTGGAGTGGTGGGGGCTATTTCAGATCAGGTGTTGAGGGAGGTCTCTCTCTGAGGAAGCGATACCTGTGCAGGGACCCGAGGTGTGAGATAACAAGTCTCACAAAGGCTTATGGGAAGCTATTTCAAGTGGCAGGAGCAAAGGCCCTGGGGCAGGAAAGAGCTTCAGGGTCTAGGAAAGCTGTGGAGAAAAAGAAGCTGAAGATGATCATGAGCCAATTCCTATCTCATATGCTTCTCCCTTTCACACCTTTGGAAGACAGGACATCTGTGGGTCTCCGATCACCTCTGGTAGGTGTCCTATAAGGGTATGTGAGGTATTGCTGTGACAAATTTAGTTTTAGAAATAGAGAAACTTGAGGTTAATGTCATGTTATATATGTAAGTATATAACGTGCTAGTATTGTAATATAGTCCCACAATCCCTCTTCGTTTGTTTTTTTAAAACAAGAAAGGTAATGCAATGCCTACAATTGTGTGTATTTTAACATTCCATTAAAGCCTGGAGTAAAATGAATAAATATTGACACTAAGTGGCATATATAACGACTATAAATAGCCTTATGTAAGTTGAGTTGAGATTTTGCCTCCAAATGAGGTAGGGCAGGTTTTGCTGACAAAGTGTTACCAAAAAAAGAAAAAAAGAAAGAAACCCCAAACATTGGGGTTTTCAGTGCCTTTGAATTTTGGAATTCCAGATAGAGGATTGTAAACCTGCAACACTTTCCTTTCATGGGTCATCTGTAAGGTCAGCACTCTGCGGAATAACCTGTAGCAGACGAAATAAAAACCCAAACTGAAAAGTCTAATTCTACCCTAGCTGCTGTTTTTGAACTATTTCCTATTTGTTCAGGACAAATTATTATGATATTCTATTTGAGACATCTCAAGAAGCATCTCCCAGATAGGTGTAGAATACAACAGTGCAAACACATAATTTTCATAATGAGGCAATTAGGGGTCGCCAGAGCAAGCCCCTGTGGTCGGCCCAGAGTCTAAGCAGGTTTAGAGAGCTGATGGTATATATTTATGACTCTAAGCTTCTGGTGACCAGAACCACCTTGCATAACGAGATGAAGTTTGCCAGCGGTTCCCTCTATTCAGCAATATTGTTTCTCAGGTAAACACGGTTTGGAGCTAGAGTGGGAGTTGGGTCTCAGTGGCTAGTGTCTATACGATGAGAGTTCTCAGGTGCGTTGGTTGCATGTTCATAGCCCTTCAGAGCACATAGAAATACTGAATTGATCCTCAGTAACATCTGACCTCCAAGCTGTACAACGGATATAGTAGTTAAGAACCTGAACAATGTTCCCCTTTCACTCAATGTTTATTAACCATTCGGTGCCAGAGCTTTGAAATAATCCAAACTGCAGCCCGTATCTAGGCTCTCCTGGTATGAATGGGCTGCCGGCTTTCCCCACTGGTCACTGCCCCCAGGGGTCCCAGCTTCGCCTGCCCAACGCGGAAGGCGGCTCGACCCTCTGCCGCGGAGCTCCGGCCACCAGGGGGCGCTGCGGCCCCCTCTCCCGGGAGCGGCCGAGCCAGCCCGGTGGGTGTTTCTCTCTCCCTCTCGCGCTCTCTCCTCCCGGCCTCACATCCGGGTCTGGAGCGCGGCCGCCGCTGTCAGTGTTGCTGCGGTCGCGTCGGGGGCCGGGCCGGGGCGCAGTAAATGGCGGCAGAGGGAGGCGGAGCGGCGGCCGCGCTCAGCCCTGAACCCCCGAAACTTTAGACTAGAAGCCCCACAACTTTTCCGCGAAGTGCTGCCGCTCCGGGGGCGTGGACGGAAGGGGAAGGCGAGGCGGGAAGTCTTGGGGGAAGCGGCGGGGAGCCGGAGAGACTCGAACCCGCGGCGGAGGCGGTGGCGGAGTCCGCCCCGGCCTCGCGCCGCCGCGGCCCCCGCCTCCTTCTCGGTGTTTTCCCCGCGGCCGCCGAGGCGGAGCCGGAGCCGCGCGGGGCCTCGTCGGCGGCGGCGCGCCGAGCCCAGCCGGGCCCCCTCCCCGCGACCTCCGGGCCCTGTAGCTCCGACGCCCCCCGCGCGTGTGAGGCCGGGGCTCCCAGCCGCTTCGGGGCGGGGGGCGAGGAGGAGAAGGAGGCCGGGCGGCGCGCAGCCCCCGCCATCCCGGGGTCGCGGGGCCGGGCCCCCGGTGTTGCATGCGGGGCGGGGTGGCCGTGAGCGGAGGCGAAGATGGAAGGTTTAACGCTGAGCGATGCGGAGCAGAAATACTACTCGGATCTCTTCTCCTACTGCGACATCGAGAGCACCAAGAAGGTGTCGGCCAACGGGCGAGTGCTGGAGCTGTTCCGGGCCGCGCAGCTGCCCAACGACGTGGTCCTCCAGGTAACGCCGCGGCGTCCGGGGGTCGGCCGGCCGCCGAGAGGGGTCCCTTCCCGGCGGCTTGGGCCTCTATCGCCTGCTTCCGCGGGGTGGGAGTGGGCGCCGTTTCCCAGGGGCCAGCGGTGGGCAGGTTCCCCGGACTCCTCCGCTGCGGGCTGGGGCCGCAGGTGCCCGGGCGGCCGGGACTCGCGAGGGGGAGGGGGTCGCTCTTCGAGGACAAAAGTCAGGCAGAGATACTGTGGGGGGTGGGGAGGGGTGGTGGTCTCTCTGTTATCTCTGGAGAACGTAAGCCCTCTATCTCTCGGCTGCCCCGCAGAATCTGGATTTTTCAACCCTGGAAGAGCAACTTCAGATGAAAGATCGGGGATTGTTACCATGCTTTTGAATCCTTGGTCTTGGGATCTACTTTTCTTTTTCTTAAGGAAGCTGAATTCTCAAGGAGATTAAAAAATGTGAACTTTTAACTAATAGTTTGCAAGCAGGTATGGAAAGAACTTTAGGATGCGTGACTGGTTTTTCCATTGGCATTCGATAGCATTTGGTGGAACTGGTGGATTGGGTTGGTAGATAAGTATTGAGCAACTGCAAGTCAAAGGTGCGTATTTGCCTCAATGCCCTAGAGGAGAGAGGAGAGTTAAGTTTTAAGCTTTCTCTGTCTTATCTAATGTATGTGGTGAGCATTGATGTTACTCTGGGCCTTATGATTCATAACTGCTAGTAAGATTTTGTCTATAAACAGCGTACGGGAACAGGTTTTAAGCTTTCCTCTTTATGATGATCCAAGCCAAATCTACAAAACTTATGGCTATGTGCATAGGTATGATGTAGTGTATTGCAGAGAGCCCTGAATCAGGAGTTTTCAGGCCTGGACCCTTGACCCCCACTCTATTAACCTGCAGTGTGACTTTGGGCCAGGCCCTTTAAACTCTTCAAGCCTAAGTGTGCTTAGAATGAGGTTCAAGTTCCTTCTGAAGAAGCTTCTGAGAAATATAAAAATGTCCACACAGGCCTCTATTTTAGAAGTTATCTGTGCATTAATTGTGATTAAATTGAACGAGTTCTTTTCGCATAATCTGGTTTGTTTTATGTTGCTTTTTAAAAATTTTGGGAGGAAAATTGGGCGTCTTACACACCAGCAGCTGGGAGTCTCATATTCATTCTGCTGAAGAGACAAAGTAAATATTTTAGGGTCTGCCAGCCACATACAGTCTCTGTATGTATATTCTTTGTTTTTGTTCTTGCAGTCTTTTAAAAATGTAGAAATCACTTTTAGCTCAGGGGCGTACAAAACAGGGCCTCTAACTGCTGACCCCTGCTGTGTGAGTACTGTATGTTCCCCTTATGGCTTTGGAGTTAGACTTACAGGAACATACTCACTAATGATTTTGCTATTTTTGTAGAAATACGTGCAAGACATTAGAAAATTAAAATTAAGGGGGAACCTCCCATGTTCTATTTGATTTCTTTCTTCTGGGTAGGGCAAGCTGAAATCAACTGACATTCATATTTCTAAGGGTGCATGAAGACTTTAGGACATTATATTATTGTTTAGGATACAAATTAGGCTTAATTAACCTTTGCTTCAAATATGTTTAACCCAGTCCAACTTATTTTCATGTCATGCTCAATTTCATTTACACTCAAAAATAAATTTCTATTGCTTTTTTTTTTTTTTAGAGAATTTAAATAGCATAAATATTCAGGATTCAGTTATATTAATAAGTTGGAAACTGTAGGAACTCCCTAAAGCACAATTTTTATAGCTTTCTGGGTATCTTGAAAGCAATTTACTTAAAAAATTGGCCTAGGAGATAAAATGTGGAACAAAAGAGGAATGTGGACTTAATTCCCGAATGGAAGCTCAGGATTGTCGGAAAACACAGTCCTCCCTTGCTTCCTAAGTTGAAAACATTTGGAACAACTCATGTACAAATTAGCACTGGGCTAGGTGTTGCAGGGCATCACAGCAGGACTAAGAAGTTCTCAAGGACCTTGTAAGCTCCAGAAATAAACATGTAACAAAGCAGTGTGAATGCCATGAGATGAAAAAAGGAGGATGTGACCAGGAAAGGCCTCTTCACTTAATTCAGAGGGACCTTACAGTAGTGTGGAGGGATGAAGAGGATTTCCAGGCGGAGCTAAAACACGGCCAGAGGTAGAAAGTGTGGGTAGGACCCCTTGCAAAGACTGGCAGATAAGTTTTGCCAAAGCTGTAGTATGTTTTGGAGATACTGGCACTTAGAGACCACATTGGGAAATATTCTGAAGAACAGGCCAATTTCATATTTCAGGAGGCAGTGGAGACTCAGTGATAGTTTTTGACTTCTAGTGAGAAAGAGATGAGAGGCTAGGGAAGGAGGCTGAGCAGTGGCTCAGAATGGGTGCCAGGTACTGGGCGCCCAAACCAGGGTGGCAGCAGTAGAACAGGAAAGGAGGGGCTGGATGAGCAGGTCTGTGTTACTGAAGGGCGGTTGGGTAGCACAGTGTGAGGTGTTTCGTGGTAAATGTTTGAGACTGGGTGGAGAGCTTTGAACTAATTGTGAAGGTGGCAGGGAGTTACAGATTTAAAGAGAACTGACTCATAAAAGCTGTGCTTTAGGAGGCATTTCTGGTGGCTCAGACAGTAAAGAATATACCTGCAATGCAGGAGACCTGGGTTCCATCCCTGGTTTGGGAAGATCCACCGGAAAAGGGAATGGCAACCTGCTGCAGTATTCTTGCCTGAAGAATTCCATTGACTAGCGGGCCACAGTCCATGGGGTCACAAAGAGTCGGACATGACTGAGCTTCTAACGCGCTTAAGAGGCATTTAGGAGACCAGAGCAACTAAGTAGGGGGAAGAAGACAGTGGGGACTGGTTCTTTCATATGTAAATGAAGTGATGAGGAACAGGGCTGCGGAGCTCAACTGTGGGGGTGGGGACGGCTAGGGGGAAGGGGATTTTGCCACCCAAAAGGCACTCGGAGGCATATTTGGTTGTCATAACTCAGGGAGGGAGCAGTTCTACTGGCGTCTAGTAGATGGAGGCAAGAGTGCTGCTCAACAGCCTATAGTACACAGGACAGCCCCGACAACAGAGAGTCATCCGGCTGAAAATGTCAGTAGTGCCGAGATTTAGAAAGCTTGGTCTGGACTCTGGTGGTAACAGTTGATCAGAAAATGAGGCTGAATATGCAGGAGAGGATGATGGAGGTAGGCCTTGATGAGCCTGGGGTAGCTGGTGATATTTTGATGAGAGAAGAGAAGGGCAAGGTTTATTCTCTGTAGGACACCACTCACAGTTACAGAAGGGGCAGGAAGAGGGCCTGATTTTTGAAGAGAAATGGATGAGTTTGTGTTCAGGTGTTTTGAGATGGCAATGGAGTACTCCAGGAGATAGTTGGAAATGTGTGAATGTCCACTCTGAGTGCTGGTTCTTACAGTGACATTCGTGTGTTTGGGATCTCTCCTCTGCCTTTCTCCCCTGCGTATCTTGGAGGTAGAGACCAGACAGCTTCTCACACTGTAGGCATGCATTTTTACACATCAGGGCTTTGACTGATATAGTAGTTTTCAGCATTTGTTAATAAAAGTCATGAGAAGACTGAGTCATCTGAGGAATGAGTATGGAGAACAAAGAACAGAGGGCCCAGAACTAGAGGTGGAAGGAACTGGCATTTATTGAGCGCCTATTGTGTTCTTTTACTGTGCAGGTCATTTTCATGCAGGAACTCATTTGATCCTTGCAAAACAATCCTGTGAAGAGAGTATTATTCTTGTTTATTACCTGGAAACTTGATAGGCAGAGAAGTGGTAAATAACTAGCGAGTGAATAGAATACCTCTCCTTTACCATTATTTCTTGCCAGCTGTTGGTTCTTTCCTACTTCCCACCGTTTATGTACTTGGTTTGGCCATAGTTCTTACAAAGAGTAGAGATTTTAAATGATTCGATTTTGAGTTACATGTGGATTTTCTCTATTGCAAAGTAAATATTTTTATTCATGATGATGTCTGGAAATATAGTCGCTTCAGAGAACTAGGAAGGTTCTTGTAAATGGTATCCTGAGTTTCACATTGCAACACTGTCCTAGACTTCCGTAGTGGTCCAGTGGGTAAGAATCCGCCTGCCAATGCAGGAGACATGGATTCGATTCCTGGTTTGGGAAGATCCCACTTGTCACGGAGCAACTAAGCCCATGTACCATAACTCCTGAGCCTGTGTGTGGCAACTCCTGAAGTCCACACACCTGGAGCCTGGGCTCTGCGGCAGGAGAAGCAGTGTTCGTTATACTTGTTTGGGAATACGGGAGTAAAACCTGTTCTGAATTTAGGGTTTGTTTGGGGAGACAGTGTATTAATTGGTGAAGTGAATGAACTAGAGCTTCATAATATTATGCTCCACACCAGAGAGGAACAAGACTAGGCAGAGAAAAATCTGGTTCATAGGATTTAATCATGAGGAATTTTGCTGTCTGCTGACCTTGAAAATATTCAGTGGCTTAAAAATAATCTTCAGAATTATTTTTTAAATGTTAGGGAAGTTATGCTATTTACCACACTAATCAGTATGTTTTTCTAGCTTTTATTTAAAATTTATACTTTGGATGGAAAATGTTTTAAAACTTCATATAGACTTCGAATGCACAATAGCTTGATAAAAGGTCCTAGTAGTAATTGTTCTTTTACTGAAGATTATAAGCAATGTACCCATTAATGAGTCTGAGAAAATCTTTTAGTTCATTTGTATTGAGCAATATCTTTGTAGAATATTTGAATAACACGTTTGTTTAGTGCAGGAAAAGTGATAATAATGAAACATAAGCCATTTTATTTTTCTTTTGAAATTTGTTCAATTATATGATCTACTCATTAGTAATAAGATTAAAATAAAGAAGCAGAGCTTCATTTATGCATTGAAAGTTACAAACTTAATAAATGTCAAGTTTGTTCTGGAGAAGTGATTTTTCATTTGTAATCGCTGAAATAATTATAACACTATAAAAATAATCTTACCTTAAACAC